GTCAGCCATGGCATTCTGTCTGCCCTCTGGGCAGTGATTACATTTTATACTAAAAACTATGTGTGTTATGTTTACAATAACGCACCAATATCATTTATGTTGGACAGTGTATCTCTGCCTTAAACCAATAGAAAAGTGTCACCATCACACCAAGACATGGAGGGCAAGGAGAAAGAGAAGAAGGCCAGGACACACCCAAATCCCTCCAGCTTGACCCCTTGAACTCCATTCTAAAAAGCCCCAAAATTCTACTTTTTCATCAGTGTTAATTCAACTACCACACTACTCAAACCCTTGTGGCTTTGTAATTCCTCATACAGAGTTGACATTTTTTTCCACGGGCTAAAATGGAAGCCACAGGTGGTTTTGACTTTGTGCCAAGGTCTCCGAGCCTCCTGACAGGGTCTGGAGCCAGCCAGGGCAGCCAGAGGGATGTGCTGGGTTCCCACAGAGAGGAAATCCCATCAAACCACCAGCAGGACAGGATGAAGCTTTGCATCCTCTTCCCAAACCTGCATCCCAGCACTGACAGGGTGCAGTGGCCCTGCTGATGCCTGATCAAAGGGTCAGTGCAGAGATAAATCCTGTCTGTCCCACCCAGACCCACCCTTCCACCCCTCAGAGCCTGACAAACAACCCCCCTTCGGCCAAAGCCTCCAGACATGGCCCAAGGCTGGATTTAGCACCACACAAAACAATAATTAAACTGGGACATGAGGCGTGGGGAACAACAAAAAAATAAATCTCTCATATGTTTTGTTAAATTCAGCAATTTACAAGGCTGGAATAATTAGTGGTTTAAAATGTTTTGACACAAGCAGCCCCAATAATCATGATAAATCATATCAGGCATATGCCCAGATCCTTGAAGTGACAGATGACAAACAGAGCAGTGACAAGATGCTCCATCACGCAGGGAATCATTGAGTTAATGGAAGAATTATTGCTTCTGAAATCCACTCTAGTCCCATTGTGGGGAACATTCCAATTTATCAAAGCCAAATGAACATTAATTGCTGCAGCCTGGTAAGTTTTCGAGCTGCTGTGACCTTCATTGAATTTTAATCCAAAACAGATAAGATTTACTTCCACACAACAGGAAACAACACAATTAAACCCAAATGACAGCTGAGATTATGGTGAAAAAACACAACAGGCATAATGACAAAAATATTGATTCCTTTCTACTTGACACTGTGCTTAAAAAATGGTAAATAAATTAAATCTTGCATTTACATATTTGTTTTTCCTTTCCCTTTATCCATTCTTTTCATTTGGGAGACAAATATCAGACACTCAAGCCAAGAGGAAATGGGTGGCAGAGAGTAATGGAGACTGAATTCCCTTTAACTGCAGTAATTAATGTTATGTCTCATTGGGGAGAGATTAAGAAAAAACAGTTAGGAAAGGAAAAAAAATAAAAATTAAGTATTATCTTGCTGTCAAAGATGCCCTTGAGCTCAGGAAGGGAGGTGTGAAGAGGGTCACAGGCAGTCAGTGCTTTGCAGGGATGGTGGCACAGGGACAACAGACCATGGACACTTTCCTGCTGCACTGGAAGCAAACCAATCCTGAACCAGAAAGCCACGGACTGACAGCCAGAACCACTGGAAGGAGGAACAAACCCAGGATTTGCACCTCCCTGGAGCCCCCATGCAGCACTGGGGGTCTTGGGTTTAGAGGCAGAGCAGGAGCTCCCAGCCAGGCCATAAACACCTTCAGAAATCCAACCAGCTCCTGGCTTGGAGATGTCTCACTGCCCAGTAACTGTGCCAAGTGCTCCCTAACAGAGGGATTAACCAGATCCTCCAGGCAAACCTTCCCCAGCTCCTACAAATCACCTGGAGCGTGAGGACAGAGGTAAAAAGAAGTGTTAGAGCCACTTAAAGGAGCTGAAGGAAGCACTTTGCCATGGCCCCTGCTGTCCCCTGGGGAGGGATGCTGGGCTGATGATGGACAGGGCACACAAAGCCTGAATGCCAAGGCAGCACTGGGCTGGGCTGGAATTCTGTCCCAGCAGTGATGGTGGTTTAGTTCCTCAAAAGCACAGAGGAGACACTGGCTTTGTGGTAGGAAGAGGAAGGAAAAGTATGTGGGAAGCTGGGAAGGAGGACACAGGCTGTATCCCAAGGCAAAAGGGATGTGGACACAGAGAGGGTGTGGGGACAGGAGGGGGACCCAGGGCTCCCCTGTGCTGAGCACAGCACAGCCAGGGAACCCCACTGGGGTAGGAGAGCTCAGGTGATGGGGGCCTGTGGGAACCCAGCACATCCCTCTGGCTGCCCTGGCTGTCCCCACACCCTGTCAGGGGGCTCAGAAACCCTGGCACGACGTCAAAAACAGCTGTGGTTTCGATTTTAGCCCGTGGAAAAAACTGCCAACTTTGTATGAGGAATCACAAGCCACAACAGTTTGAGTAGCGTAATATTTGAATTAACACAGGGTGAAAAAGTAGAATTTTTGGGCTTTTTAGAATGTAGTTCAGAGGGTCAAGATGGAGGGATTTGGGCATGTTCTAGCCTTCTTCTCCTTCTTATTGACCTCCATGTCTTGGTGTGCTGGTGACACTTTCCTATTGGTTTAAGGTAGAGACACACTGTCCAACATAAATGATAGATATTGACACGTTTTTGTGTACACGTAATTTCTGATACAAAATATTAACGCCACCTGAGGTGGTATGCAGAGTGCCATGGCCTCTTTGCTAGACAGAGCTCAGCAGGTCAGAGAAAGAATGTTATAGACAAGGAAAAATAAACAACTTTGAGAAGGCAACCCTACACATTCAGACTCCTTCTTTGGCTGCACGGGCTGGGAAACGAGGACTTTTACACTCTTGGGGTCATTCCCAGCACCACAGACCCTGAGAGGGGCCCTCAGGGATGTGCTCCAGCTGGGGTCAAGAAAGGAAATAAAGGAGTGGGAAAGCAGCCTGTGGACCTGGGTGAAATATTACACCCAAGAAACAAATAGCTGTGCCCACTTTATTTCCCCTACAGAACTCCATGAGGCCTCAAGGATGGGAAAAAAAAAAATCAACAAACCAACAAAACAGAATCATCCTTGCTGGTAACTCAAAACTTGGCTCGGGTTCACTCAAAAAGTTAATGAACCTTCTGAAAAATCTGGGCAAAGTTTCAAGCCTGTGCTGCAATCCTGACCCAGGAGAGGGATCTGCAGGGCTCCTGCCTCCCCAGGGACACATGTGCAGCCCAGACCCAGATCCATGCCCAGGACCTCAGCTCCTGCTACAGGGAATGTCAGGATTTATAAAGACAGTGGAATTACAGCTAAATGTGTGTGGCAGGAACAACTCCTCTCCTGTCCTGTTGCTTTTGCAGAAGGGAAGGGAGGTACAGGGCAGGAATGAACTCACAGCAAAGCCATGGGTGCTCCCACACCACTGGCAAAGCACATCTTTGCTGGCTAAAGTGGGATTAGAGGCCAAACCCATTCCTGTGACATTCCCGTGACCTGGCCAGCAATGCTGTCAGCTCCATCCCCAGCACCACTGCTCCCACATTCTGAGGTGCAGCAAAAGAAGGCTCTGGCCAGGAGCTTCTCAAAGGAACTTTCCAAGCATCCAGTCATTACAATAATCTCCTGTATTTCAGAGATCACCTTCAGCAAGGGCTGAGGACCAGGACTGAATCTCTCCCTACTACAGAAAATCTGCATTTCAAGCAGGAACAAGCAGGCTGCAGAGAAAGTGTCACCCCACAGACACAGGACAATTCTCCAGGGTTCAGGTTCGCCCACAACAGCCAAACAATCCCATACTCAAACCTCCTGCCAGGGATGGAGCTTTTCACACCCACACATGCTGTGCTGTTTTTCTTTCTTTGTTGACTCTCACTTACATTTTCAGGTTCATTTTCCAAGTACACAGTTCTAACCCTTTTCCTCTCTCCAACGTCCCATCCCATTGACGATTTCAGCAGGACATAAAAACATTCCCTATCCAACTCAGTAAGATGCAGCCCCCAAGTCCTTTCCCTTCTGTCATCCTGCATCTTATCTTGCCCAACAACCTTAATGCAGAACCTCCCTCCTTTCTCATATGCATTCAGTGCCAGATATAAAGCCCCACTGATAAGACACTCAAAAAAACAGACTGAAGTTGTAAAAGCCAAATAGCTGCTTGTTCAAATAAGAAAAAAAATTTAAAATAAAGGATTTGTGCAGCCATTGTCTGTGTTCCTCCTTCCAAAGCTAAGGACAGAGCTGTGGAGATGACCCAGATCCTAAGTGATGAGCAGGTTCACCTTTCACAGAGGGTCACCCTGGTGGGATCCTCAGCCCTTAAAAGACTTGCTTTGGCAAATGAACGGCATGCACGCACACTGGATATACCAACCTAACTTCTTTTCTTCTGTATCTTATCCCAATGGCACTGAAGGGACAATACACTGAATCCCATTTTACAGATGGAGCTCTAAAGCACGGAGAAACCATGGACCCGATCCAAACACGTAGGCAACCACTTCATATGATACTGAAACTTTAAAAGGCAACACAGCACATAAACAGTGCATTATTAAAAGGTCACAAACACCCCAGATGGAGACATTCAAAGCACTGGATCATCTTTTTACTTTTAGGTCAGGCTTGTCCTTTGCAAGAAATGCTGCAGCCCTTACTCACTTCAAAGATCAGCTTCAGAATTAAATGGCCAAGCCCAAAATCTTGCCTTTGTACAATGCCCAAACACAAAGATCAAGCAGAAATATTCCACTGACACTTACAGACAGGGAATTACAAGGATCATTCTTACCCTCCCAACAGCTTCTTCCCCACACTCTTTTGCTTTAACTTTCTCAGAAGACCAAGCACTCTATTTTTCTTTTTCTTGGCCCATTCAAACACATCTCTCCCATTCTGGAGACCCAGGCAAGAAGGGACACAAACATCTACAAACCAGACTCACCATCCTGCTCCCCATCCCCCTCCTCCAAGGGGGTCCCTCCATCCCCTCGGATGCCACCGGAGCTGGGACTCACCATGACTGAGATATGAAGAATGTGCATCTGCTCCTCCACGATCTCCGAGGGCTCCTGGAGGCTGGGTGGGGTGGCCCTGGAGAGCTGCTCAGCGCTGCTCATGGACACGTGGAAGTACAGGGTGCCATTCTCCAGCCACTGCTGCTTCCAGTGCACCAGCGAAATGTCCGACACAGTCCCCGACATCTCTGCAGGGACACAACGCACAGCTCAGGGTCAGTTTTCCCCATGATGCCCAAAGATGTTATTCTAAATGTTCAAGGAAATTGGGACTTTTGAGTCTTACCCCCAGAACTGACTCTATTTAATTTTAGCCTCTACCTGCTACTTCTCTTATGTATGAACAGAAATGTTTTTCTTCCTCAATAAAAATCAAGGGGCTACAGAGCGCCTGGGGATTTCTAGAATAGGAAGGCAAGAACAGTAAACCACACAGGATGCCCTAAACCGCCTGTGGCTTTCCCAGGAAACAGGCTGGAAGAAGCTCCCAGGGGAGCTGCAGCCAAGCCCAAGGGAGTTCCATGGCTGAGGGAGGCCACACGTGCCAGACAGGGCAGGGTGCAGACACCACTACACACATTGCTGGCATTTACAATGGAAACCTCCCTTCCAGCTGTGAGGCAGCAGCACAGCTGCATTTCACAGAGACACTCTCAGCACAGACTGTGAGCTCCAGCAGCAAGGGAAAACCTCCAGGCTTGACAAATATCTGTTGACATTGGAGCTGCACCTGTCAGTCACCTTCTGTTGGTTTTCCATTCCTGATTTACAGCACGGGCACCCTGGCAGCCAGGATTACAGCACACACCACCAGCTCTCCCTGACCTAGGGCACTGCACTGAACTGGGCTTTGAGGAACCCAAAGGGCACCCCCAGACCTGCAGACCCTGTGGAGGCAGCAGCTCCCAGCCTCAGCTGCAGCCCCTGAGTGGGTCAGGAGCACGGACAGCTCCACAGCTGCCCAGCACGTTGCACACGATCTCTGCAGAGAACAGGTTTGGCAGTTGGGCAGCTGAATCAAAACCAAAAAAAAAAAAAAAAAAAAACCAAAAATACGAGCACAAAATGAGCCAAAATATTTCTCCTTCCACCACATCTTTTTTTGTGTTTGTTTTTCCATTTCCAGTATAAGCAATGGGAAGCAAGACAGAGCTTAGTCACTGGGCCCACAGTTTCAGCAGCTTTGAGGAAGACCCAAATTTAATTCCCTCCTATTTGGGAAGAGACCAGCCCTGACAGCCCCTGACCCACTGTCTGCAGGTGTGCCTGCCCCTGAACAGTCAAGAACACAGGCTCAGGTACTCCTGGGACCAGAGTGGGAATAGAGACAAGGTTCTCCTCCTCCTCCACTTTGGCTGCAGAGGGTCAGTGGGAAGGAGAGCGCTTCCTCTGAGGGCAAAGCAGCCAGGGAATGCTGGTGGCATTTTGCATTTCATTACCCTGAGCCCAGCTGGCCAAAAGCACATCCACTTCCAGCTCCCAGTGGGAACAAGCCCAGCTGAGGCTGTCCTGAGGAGCCACCCACACTCTGCAGGACACGGTGCTGCAAAAGACACTTGGGAGGTGAGCAGCCACTCAGGCACTCGCACTTCTACAAACCCATGTCCCAGCCCAACAAAAAAACCTCTCAATCCTTCTTCTCACCCCTGAGATCAACATATTTTCCAGCAGAAGCTCCTGGCTTCCCAAAGTGGATCAAAAGACAGCCAACGAAGCTCTCGTGGAGAAGACCCCATCACACAACAGGTCCTGCAGGGCTGAGAGCAGGGCCAAGGCCACCCCATTGCTGCCAGACCCCTGATTCAGCACCTCGCTGGTGACACTCCCGAGCCACCACCATGTCACCTCAGTCTCACCGGAGGGGTTTGCTCATTGCCACTGCACCTCCCTTATGCCTGACCCCTGAGCACACCTGAGCACTCAGGGATGAGCCAAACAGCTCCTGACCACACCTGGATCCATCCAGAGCTCACACCTGTGCTTGGGAGGGGATGCAGGAGCTCCCTGTCACATCCCTGTCACTGCCATGACATCCTGCTAATGACCCTTCTCTCCTCTGACAGAAATCAGCAGCAAGAGGGTGTTGTTTGTACTCAGGAAACTGTAATTCACAGCAGCCCTGCAGCTCCTTCGAGACCTGGGAACCTCATGGAAGGAATCATGTGTCTCTCCCCTCCAAACAAGATTTCTTATAGCAGTAAAAAAAAGAATCAAATGAGAGAAATAGCAAGGCTGCTTAATTGCAGTTGTCTTCCCAGCAATACTTCAAAGGTCTGTACTGAAAAGCATCTCCTTCTCTAATTAAAATCAAAACAAATGCTACTTTTAGGAGCAAAAGCACTCACTCAGCTTTGCAGCAGAAATCCAAGACCATCCACAGAGGCAAAGAGGCCATGGGAGAGCAGGGAAGCATCAAGGGAAAGACTCTGTTATGCAAAGCCATAATCTTAATTCTATCCAGAGGGACAGTCACCCACAGGAGGGGATGATTTGCAGTATTACACACTCATCACAGACATATCCTGCAGCAGACCTTTCCTAAAGAGCTCAGGAGGGAGGTTATATCACCCAGCCCACAGCACAGACCACGTGGATGCCACCAGGACCCCACTGCTGCAGCTCCAAAGGCTCCATCACATTAGGGAAGCAAGGAAAAAACCTCCAGGGTCAACCTTTCTCCATTTTTTTCCCTTACACACACATTTTTGCATGGGATGTTTAAAAGGATCACAGAGAACATTTCCCAGGAGTTCTGAAATATAGGCAATTTTTTGGATTTTAGCCTAGACTGAAGATAAGCCTGTTTCATTTTCAAAAGGTCTCTTCCAAAAGTAGAAACTTCAATTTAACATTCATTTCACAATTTTAAGCAAACCCAGCAGCCAGGAAATTTGTGACAAACACGGACTTGCCAAGGCTGGGTATCCATTCCCACACATTCATAAACACTTGTGTGCTTGAGCTTTCATTTCGGGGCACCTGATGACTACCCCAGGACACCACAAGCCTTCAATCAGATTCACCACTCACAATAAAAATAATTCTAAAAAAAAAAAGCTTTTTCAAGCCCTGTAGCTGCAGAAATCCCTCAATCCCCAAACACAGGGAAGTTTCTTGGCCTCATATACCTGACACTAATATTCCAGTGCCTATGTTTCACTGGACACACATTGTCACTCCACTGTCTGTAGTAACAGCGCTGAAAGCCCGTCCATCAGACAGAATGTAACAGTCTGCAGCAAGATTGCCTGTTATCAGAGCTTTCAAATGCTTTTGGAACAAATTAAGGGCATTCCTGCACCAAAGCTGAATGAGATACAGTTAAGGTTTTAAATGTGCAGCAATGGAAAGGCACTTGTGGTCTATAGCTGTTAAAAATCTCAGTATCTAGTGGATGGGGAGCTATCAGACGGGGTTCAAACAGCCCTTTGTGGGTAAAACACCAAGTAAAACAGGCAAAAAGATCAAACATCTCCTACCTGAGCTCACTGTGCTCAGCAGAGAGGGGACAAGGAAGAAACAAGGAGGGTCCTCCTTCCCCACAGCAGGCAGGCAGATTTCTCCCCTTCCCCTGCTCAAAGGCAGCAGCACCACCTCCATCCCAGAGCAGAGGAGCTGAGGAATCTCTTCTCCCCAGCACCAGCACATCTCTGCCCCCCCAGCCTTCCCAAGTGCCACCATCTCCCACCACACAGCTCAGCCCAGCCCACGGGCAGCCCCCACCAGCCTCTGGTGCCACCTGAGGATGCTCTGAAAGCAAGAAAAAAGCACACAGAGCATTTCTGTCTGCTCTGCTCTTCCTCAAGCTCTGTGCCTTACACAACTTCTACAGTCTTCAACTTTTGCCTCGGAAATCAAACAAGCAAGCCAAACAAAACTCTTCCCAGGGCTCAGCCTCTGACCTGGGCTCATGCCCATCAGCAGGCAGGGACAGCAGTGACCACAGCAAGATCCCTCCCAACCAACTCTCCAATCCCCTTTTTCCCTTTGCTGTTGCTACAACCTTTCATATAAACATTTCATTGAAATCTTCAACTTGTATTACAATCAAACTTAAAAGCAAAGGGGCCTGAATGCATTTGGTTGGGAACCAAGACAATTCCCATAAAAGCAAATCACGCTGACGTGATGAATACAGAATGAAACAGCCAATATTAAAGTTGCAGGATTGTTGCTCCGTGCCTTCAGGCTCCTGGCCACCCTACCCATCTCCTCCCTTCTCTCCCCTTGGTCTCACTGAAGTCAGGGACAGTTTTTCACCTCTGCCTTCTCCAGGGCAGCCTGCCAGGCTTGAAACATTGACCAGCTCTCCCCAGCCCCCTCCCCAGCCTCATAAATGCCTCAAAATTCACCTCTTCTGGGGAGGCTGCAGCCCTGCCTTATCTGTCATGGTGTTTTACAAAGCCTGTGTTGCGTTTAATTGGCTTGTTCTTGCTAATCTACCATGATTATTGTATTTTTATTTCGTTCTTGAAGGCCATTATTAAAATAAGCCCTTTTGCTCAGAGCAGTTCATCCCCACGAGGTTTCCCACCCCCGGATAACCAAACCCTCCTGGTGCTTCCTCCCAGCTCCCCAGCACTGCTCAGACCTGCTGGGCACCTTTCCTGTCACTACCAACTGCTTGGGGAGATGGTGAGGAGCCAGTGAGTAATTTCCAGCGCTCCTCTGGCCTTCTTCCTCCCCACCTGCTCCACCCCAGCAGGAGCTGCACGCTGCAGCCAGGCTTCCTCATCCCACCTGCACAACCCAGCGTCCTAACCTGGCAGGGGAAAGCTGGAGATCTGCTTACTGATTGCATTTTATTTTATAGAGACACAATTCCAGCTTGTGCCCCCTTCTTCCACACCCCTCACCCTGCCAGCCCTTTCCATCTGCTGGTACTCCAGGGCTCTCCTGAGTTAACGTTCTCCAGAGGCACCAACCTCTGATAAAGTGTTAGTTTAGAGATTCTTCGGTGCTAGCTACCTCTTATGCTAATAAAGCAAATTTATGCAGAAAGTCATAAACAGAGAGCTCTCCCCAGTGCCCTTGCCAGCGCAGGATTGCTCCCTGCGGAATAGATTATCACACTCAGTGCAGACTCGTTCCAAAATTACTCTAGAAATGGGGCTTTCCCCCTGCTCCCAGGGGGGCTATTGTGCAGTCAAACAGGCCCTAAGAGTTCTAAGAGTTTGGGTCTTTTGGT